AGAGCCCATCACCTCCAGAGGGAATCTCTTCCATTGTCGAACAGCTCTTACTGTTATAACAGTTCTTCCTGATGTTGAGTCAGAATCTTCTTTCTTGCAACTTGACAGAATTACAAGCCTGGTAGATGAAGAGAACGCAGTGGATGTAGCCTACCTTGATTTCAGCAAGGCATTTGACAAGGTGCCCCATGATATTCTTGTAAAGAAGCTGGTAAAATGTGGTCTTGACTATGCTACCACTCAGTGGATTTGTAACTGGCTGACTGACCGAACCCAAAGGGTGCTCATCAATGGTTCCTCTTCATCCTGGAGAAGAGTGACTAGTGGGGTGCCACAGGGTTCTGTCTTGGGCCCGGTCTTATTCAACATCTTTATCAACGACTTGGATGATGGACTCAAGGGCATCCTGATCAAATTTGCAGATGACACCAAACTGGGAGGAGTGACTAACACCCCAGAGGACAGGATCACACTTCAAAATGACCTTGACAGATTAGAGAACTGGGCCAAAACAAACAAGATGAATTTTAACAGGGAGAAATGTAAAGTATTGCACTTGGGCAAAAAATGAGAGGCACAAATACAAGATGGGTGACACCTGGCTTGAGAGCAGTACATGTGAAAAGGATCTAGGAGTCTTGGTTGACCACAAACTTGACATGAGCCAACAGTGTGACACAGCAGCTAAAAAAGCCAATGCAATTCTGGGCTGCATCAATAGGAGTATAGCATGTAGATCAAGGGAAGTAATAGTGCCACTGTATTCTGCTCTGGTCAGACCTCACCTGGAGTACTGTGTCCAGTTCTGGGCACCACAGTTCAAGAAGGACACTGACAAACTGGAACGTGTCCAGAGGAGGGCAACCAAAATGGTCAAAGGCCTGGAAACGATGCCTTATGAGGAACGGCTAAGGGAGCTGGGCATGTTTAGCCTGGAGAAGAGGAGGTTAAGGGGTGATATGATAGCCATGTTCAAATATATAAAAGGATGTCACATAGAGGATGGAGAAAGGTTGTTTTCTGCTGCTCCAGAGAAGTGGACACGGAGCAATGGATCCAAACTATAAGAAAGAAGATTCCACCTAAACATTAGGAAGAACTTCCTGACAGTAAGAGCTGTTTGACAGTGGAATTTGCTGCCAAGGAGTGTGGTGGAGTCTCCTTCTTTGGAGGTCTTTAAGCAGAGGCTTGACAACCTTATGTCAGGAGTGCTCTGATGGTGTTTCCTGCTTGGCAGGGGGTTGGACTCGATGGTCCTTGTGGTCTCTTCCAACTCTATGATTTTATGATTCTATGATTCTATGAATCCATTGGTTTTGGGTCCTTCCCCCCAGAGCAGCAAAAAAACAAGCTTGCTCCATCTTCCATGTGACAGCCCTTTAGATATTTGAAGATGGCTATCATATCTCTATCAGGTGCTCGCCCTACACTTGAGTAGGACCCTGGTAGAGACACATGCCTGACTGGCATGTTCTCTCCCTCCTGGTCATTCATTCGGGAGCTTCAAAAGCTTTCTTCTGCCCAAACATCACAGTGACCTATGCCAACAGACATCAGCACACTTAGGGATCCGTAGAGTGTTCACAGGTTGCGTAACAGACTTCAGCAACTCAGCATTTTGGCTAATCTACTTTATTTACATATAAACACACACGGAGCACTGCAACATGGCTCCCTCTCTCTCTAGCATCAGACAGCAAAGAGAAAAACAACAAAGGACAATAGTCCCACTTCACAGAACACAGTAACACAAACATCCTGTCTCTGTCACTTCCCACTCTGTGGAATGAAAACATATACCATCATGTGATAGACAAAAATCCCATGACTGCAATCACGGAGCAGGAATTCTAACAATCTCCTCTTGGTTTCTACCTTCCCGGGCTAAACATACCCAACTGCCTCAACCATTCCTCAACAGGCTTGGTTTTCAGAACCTTGATCATCTTGGTCACTCTCTCCTGCTATGTTCATAACTTCTAAAGGAGTAGTCATATTAGTCTGTTAGTCCATGTAGTTTTCTTTATCAGTGTGTGATTATGCCCCCCCCCCCGCACTATAGTAGGCTCTCCCCAGTAAGGACCACCTGATGTTGACATGGCCATCTTTAGGGTGTCAGTTTAAGTGCTTATTCTACTCATAGGCATTTGAGTAGGCAGGCTTCTATAAGCTTTTAGCTGGTATCTGTCAAATGGTTATAGGTGTGCAATAAGTCTTTATGCTCATTTTTAACAGTGAAGTCTTTTAGGTGTTCATGGTCTTGTGCATTTTGTTTAATTTTTTGTGCTTGCATTTTAATCTGTATCTACTGATTTTTTATGTTATTTTGGGATTATCTTTGGTGTAAGGTTTCTGTTAAATTCAACAACACTAGTGTTTGTGATGCAGGAACGCAATGTGGAATGGACAGGGTATTAGTGATGGTTTGGGGGGGGATTCCTGTCTACATTGGATATAAATAGAATAAATAAATATGAGTGCATAATTCGGATACCAAACCCAGCTAATTATGAATTTTGGCAGCATTGCTTTAGGGAACTGAATTTTTGCCTCTTTCAGACCTTTCCTCTTGTCTATAGTAAGAGGCTGACACCTCCTTACTTTGGAGCACTCACAATGTTATCACTGGGGTTGCCGATCTTAAACAATCACCTTCTACCCCAACCCTCAAAAAGGGGTATTTAGATCTGGTATTGACTCAGTACTCAAACACTGTTGCCCAAACAGTTATGAGAGCAGGAAAACAGGTGTTTGTATACCTGAAGCCAAAGAACATTTTTTAAAAAAAACAGGAGCCTCAGGCCATGTTTTGTTGACCATGCTAGAAGTGGCAGAACTTTTAGAACCATACTATGTTTCAAAAGAGGAGAGAGATAAAGGGAAAGACTGGAAAGGGTGTAAGGAGGCTCTTGAGAGTGAAAGCAGAAACTTACAATACATCACCAACTGGAGGCGAATCAGTTGGCATTGCCTGATTACCCCTTTTGAATTCTCATTGCAAAGACTCACAATTCTTGGTGTTCCATCCCCCCCCCCTTGTTTCCGAAGTTCAGTACTCTCTAGGGCTGTGCACCAGATACATCCAATTTGTATCCAACCCAATTTGAGCATATTTGGAGGGACTCCGGCACCAGTCGGGTTGAGTTCAGCCAGCCACAGATTGCTACCGGCCAGGTTGCATGGCCCAGAGTGCCCCATGGTTGTCAGGTGGTGGCAGGCCACACAGGAAGCAGAGGCAGGCAGGGAAACAATACCTCCCTTCTCCCAGCAGGGCTGTTTCCTCTGCTCAGGAGCTGTTGAGCTGAGGGGTGACCCTGCAAACTGTGAGTAATGCTCTGCAAGTAGCCTCTGGTTGGCCAATGTGAGAACAGAATGTTGGACTAGATGGGCCACTACCCAGATCCAGCAGACCAGTCCTATGTTCTCAGCAGCAGAAGAAGAAGAGTTTGGATTTGATATCCCGCCTTTCACTCCCTTTAAGGAGTCTCAAAGCGGCTAACATTCTCCTTTCCCTTCCTCCCCCACAACAAACACTATGTGAGGTGAGTGGGGCTGAGAGACTTCAAAGAACTGTGACTGGCCCAAGGTCACCCAGCAGCTGCATGTGGAGGAGTGGAGACGCGAACCCGGTTCCCCAGATTACGAGACTACCGCTCTTAACCACTACACTACACTGGCTCTCAGTGAAGAAAACTGAGCTTCTATCCCATCAAACGTGCACTTTTGTATATACAGTAAAGAGGAACTGTTTTAACGGTGCACGTTTTCTATATCCCAAGCCACGCACAAACATTTATCTAGACATACATAGACTGAAATGACACGGCGTCGAGTGTTTGCTCATTACCTCCTTTCCTCCTTGTTGTGTATGCGTGACTGTGTGTGTATGTGTGTATGAATATATATATATATATATATATATATCCCTGCAAAGAGGACTTCCGTCCCTGTCGTGATTGATTGCCAGCAAACTGCCACTGACAATTCCTGTTGGCGGGTGAGAGACATCGACTCGTTTATCTTTATATCATATCTGCTGCAAATTAAACGGAAAACGTAGAGTTTGCGCACACTAAAATGGTTACACTGCCGAGCAATGTGCCTATAAAACAGCATGCTAACAAGCGTGGCATGATGAATGGAGTGTAATAAGCCACCATAATTTCAAGTTCTCCCACAAGGAAAACGATAAGGCTGTCACCTGTTGAGCTATATTTGGGGATAATGCAGAGGCATCTCTGAGGAGGACTGAAGTCACCCAGACAAGACAGGTTAACACACTTATTATTTTTTGTTGTTGGAAAGGAGATCGGAGGATATATAAAACCAAGCCAAATCCTTAGTCCATTTGTCTGACTGCTGGGCTCTCTAGGCATGGAGGAGAAATTCAGCTTCTTTTTCTATTTAAATTTTGACCTACCTAAGAACATAATAATAATAAGAAAAAGCAGAGACATCACCTTGTTGACAAATATCCTACAGTTAAAGTTATGGTTTTCCCAGTAGTGATGTATGGGAGTAAGAGCTGGACTACAAAGTAGGCTGATCGCCAGAGAATTAATGCTTTTGAATTGTGGTGCTGGAGGAGACTCTTGAGAGTCCCATGGACTGCAAAAAAATCAAACGTATCCATTCTGAAGGAAATCAGCCCTGTGTGCTCACTGGAAGGACAGATCCTGAAGCTGAAGCTCCAAGACTTTGGCCACCTCATGAGAAGAGAAGACTCCCTGGAAAAGCCCCTGATGTTGGGAAAGATTGAGGGCACAAGGAGAAGGGGACGACAGAGGACGAGATGGCTGGACAGTGTTCTCCAAGCTACTAACATGACTTGGACCAAACTGCGGGAGGCAGTGGAAGACAGGAGTGTCTGGTGTGCTCTGGTCCATGGGGTCACAAAGAGTCAGACACGACTAAACGATTAAACAACAACAAGGAACATAAGAAGAGCCTGTTGGATCAGGTCAACGGGCCCATCTAGTCCAGTTTCCACTGAGTCTCACCATGTTCTCCAGACCTTTCATAGATGCTTTTAACAGCTGTACACTGTGGTACATAGTACCTCTCCAAACATCTGGTCAACACATTGACTTTGGAAACAGAAATATATCCATCAAAATACAGCAATATGGGGGTCATGATATCAACCAGAGCCAACCCTGCAGAAGTAAGCAAAAGGATGTGAGGAACTGTATCTGCAAATGCCTTGAAACTTGTCAGAGCAGAATACTGAGGGCTCACCCTTAACACCTCAACAGGTCAACTCAGGATTAGCTCGGAGGCAGTGCCAGATTTATGTACAGTATAAGCTAAACAAGCTGTAGCTTAGGGCCCCACTCTCTTAGGACCTCCCCAAAAAATTAAAGGAAAAAAACCCTGGATGTACATTTCCAAAATATAAGATAAAAAAACAAATAAATTGGTTTTAGATACCTATTAGGTCCATAAATTACCATATAGCATATATCCAACACAAAAAACAGCTGTTGTTGACAAAGGACAGCTGGACATATAAAGGGCCCCATTACCTTCAGTAGCTTAGAGCCTCATCAAACCTAAATCAGGCCCTGGTCAAAAGTGAGGATGATCTGGTGGCAAGGAGAAAGAGAGGAGAAAGAGATGGGTGAGCAGCCTGCATGCTTCCCCTTCTTCTCTCCCTTCAGACCACATGTGTAATCAAAGCTTTAAACTGAAAGTAAACTTGAGGTCAGAAGGGTGAAGTGGAGAAGACACATTGCCCCTCGCCTCCTCACAGCCTCATGACTGGGCAAGGACCCAAAACAGTTGAATCTGAGTTGGACCCAGATCATTCCCAAGTCAGATGGCAGCTTCTGTGACGTGCCAGGTTGGACCATACAATCCTGAGCAGCTGTTTCATACCCTTGTGGATGCAATGATATATGACTACAACCTGATTAGTTTGAACGAATTTCCAGTGCATGATTGTTAAAATGCTAGTTTCCTCTGAAGAAGAACCGAGGAAGAAAGTTTGTCCACCCCATCTGAGAAATGTGGCCCTCAAAGATTCTTTATGGCCCTCTGGACTCTCCCCAAGCCACATCTACTTTTCTTCAGGACACATCCATCACCAGCCTTGTTTCATCCCTTCCTTGAATGCTTTTTTGCCTGGCTGGACTTTGCCCTTGAACTCTCATTTACTGTGTGTGTGTGTATAAGTTTTTCTACTGTTCATAAGTAAAAAAATTCTATTTGTTGCTTTGGCCAGTTTTGCCTACCACTGCCATGTGGCCCCTGAAAGAAATGTGGGGCCCCAGACCCCAAATCCTATTTTTTCTAGATTCAGCTGCTTGCATAACTCTGCTTCCCCCCCCCCAAGACCTGTGACAACAACCCCCCCCAAAAAAAACCAGTAAAGCAGAAAGCAAGTTAGTTTAAGAAGGAAAACTTGAAGGGGGGGGTGGAGATAGAGAGAGAGCGTGTTGGATCATGTTCTACTGCAAAATTCTCCCCTCATCTTCTCTCTCTGCTCTTTCTCAATTAGTTCACTGCAACTTTTGAGCCAGTTTCGAACGTCTCCTGATAAAGTCAATGACAAAGCATGCTGTTGAAACAACTGACAGGCCAACAATTACAGCCCCTGTCGCCTTTGTTTAAGCTGCAGTTTACTTATGAGCAATTGAGTCTCATTATTTCTGCCAAATTATATTCTACTGCAGCCATCAAGAAAAGAAACAAGCAAACCTTTTTGTTGCTCTTGCTCTTATATGCCCATGTAGCCTTCCACACACACACACACACACACACACACACACACACACACACAGTGAGAGTTTCTCTAGAAGCCTCTGAGTTTCTTTCTAATTTGGCTCTAGGGGGTACATTTTTCCAGGAAATCAGAAATGTTTCTCGCAGACAGAAAGATCTGGCCAAATAACAGGCTATAAAAGGAATATTGCAAAGGCCAGCTAGAACTGATGTGTGTGTCTGTACAAAGGGTAGTGGTCCTTATGGAGAGGTGGTGGTTCTTATCTTACCTCCCGTCACCTCCATCACTTACCAGCAAGGAGAGCAGCAGGGCAGAGGGGGCAGGTCAGGAGAGTGGAAAAGCAGCAGCAGGAATGCTGGATTGTTGACAATGGGTGGCAGCATGTCTCAAGGGCTAAGGGCAAGAGTCAATCCCCACCCTAGCTGCTGTTGCCACCAGGATTGAACCTCGAGTCTTTTGCATACAAAGCAGATGTTCTGTCAGCGAGCAATGACCCCCTTTCATGGCGGACTGCCCTGCTGTCAGTTGCAGGGAACCAGGCAGAGGGCCTTCTCGGTAGTGGCACCCGCCCTGTGGAATGCCCTCCCAGCAGATGTCAAAGAGAACAACAACTACCAGACTTTTAGAAGACATCTGAAGGCAGCCCTGCTTAGGGGAGCTTTTAATGTTTGATGCATTACTGTATTTTAATATTTTGTTGAAAGCCGCCCAGAGTGGCTGGGGAAGCCCAGCCAGATGGGCGGGGTATAAATAATAAATTATTACTACTACTTATTATTATTATTACTGAAGAAGAAAGACTTAGAGGAGGCTCCTTTCCCAAGGCGTTAATGCTTAGACCATGGTGAGCCCTATGTGAATTGCTGGCTCAAGGCACTTCAGGCAATACACATGATTATTCCTAAATACTGCTGCAACAAAGGTGCTCTAACTGCCACACCTCAATTGCTTCTCAGCCTTTTGACTAAGATCAAGTGTAGTAACTGCCACACTCAGACATTGATCTGACACAACCACACCCCTGTGCAGTTATATAGGAATGAAGTGGGATCATTGTAGGACAGTGAGCATTTCTGCAATCTCTTGCTATGCCTAGAAGGCAGAAGCTTCTCTTCCTTTCTCTTTTGGCTCATGCTGGACCTGGGTGTTGGGGAGGTGGCCAGAACCAGTGACACTCCCATTATCTGATGGTGCTGGAGTGGACACCACACCACACACGGTGGACATATCAGAGAGATGCTCTGCCAAGCATGGAGAGGAAGGTGGAGGTGCAAGGGAGGCAAAACTCATGGCTGTCATCGCAGGGACAGTTGATATGAGAGAGCATGTTGAGTTAGCTCCCCCACACCTTGATCCCTGCTGGTAGACCCCCTCTGCAGGGCTGCAGGGCTGCAGAGACCCTCACATCCTACTGGAGACCCCCCTGGGTTCTCGACCAATCCTCCAGCTGCATTGCCTTGACTCAACAAGCCCATGACAGATAAACAGTGGAGTAGCATGTGGGGGAGAGGGCAGAGAGGAAGTTGCCCTGGGTGCAAAATTGTTAGGGGTGCAAAATTTCAGCACCCGGTACTACCTCAATACATCTGTGTGCATCCATCGCTGGAAGCACACAGCTTCTCCATGCAAACCAGGAAATGTCCTCTCCAGACTTCTCTCTGTGGCTGTGATCTCCTTCCTTCCTTCCTTCCTTCCTTCCTTCCTTCCTTCCCACCCCTCTGTGCAGCCCCGGGCACTGGCAACCCACGCTAGGCCACTGACAGATGCAAAGTGTTTCTCAAAACTGGGGTGGGGATTCAGCACAATGCTACCTTGCACACACAGCCCCAGGTGATGTAGCTACTTTAGCAGCCGTTTCAAACAACCTGCTTTAGTTCAGGATGAATCGCTGGTCCCGAGTTTCCTTCCTGTTCTTTAAAAGTGGCATATTTAACATCTGCCTAGACAGCCAGAAGAGATTTCAGTGCAATGCCGTGTCTGCCAAAATACGTAATGGCAACACGGTACATTGCTCTATCTACATTTTAATGGGGAAACAGAGAATCATGTTTGATGTTTCCATTAGCTTAAGAAACTGGCGGTGACTTCTCGTAAACAAGGCAAACCCTGGCAATGTACTTCCCCTTCCCCTCTTCTGTCTTCCAAGCAGGTAATTCATTGATACAACTGGGGTTGGGTAAAAGCAGTTTGGATAAAATAAGAACTGACCTAGATATGTACTATAAATACAAACCCAAAGTAGAAGGTTTCTTCTTGTTGTTGTTGCTTTAAAGTGCAGGTTTGAAAACAAATACAATTTTCACTTGAAGGAGCAAAATGATAGAAAGAAAGAATTAAAAGTCAACATTCCTGGTAGGGTTGGGGAGGATTCCAGACCTCTCTGTGTTTTGAAGAAATGTTCCTATTTCACGCCACCTCACCCTGGACCCATATAGTGTGGAATGTGAAACACGGAGCAGTCAAGTACAACATCCCTAGAGTGGACATAAAAAGGGGGTGTCTGGACCAGCCTGTTGGAACTTCCTGTTTCCTCCTAGGCTGGGACAGACTTCCTCTATGTGTAACAAGAGGTAGACGTGGCTGCACCTGTGCAGGTAACAAAAGCATAGGATTGGCCGCCATCTCATTCTCCCTGACTACATTCGTCGAAGAAGCAACATCTGCTTAGCCTAAGATGCTCTCTTGGCTTTCAGCTTTCAGCCAAGAGAGGACAAAGGAGCTGTCTCCTTATGGGATAGTTTCCAGGTATATTACTTTTGTAACTTAAGTCTGCCTTCTGGGATCCATCTGTGAACAGAATGTGAGTGAGTAAACTCTTTTTATACTTTTATAGAAGACTGTGTCATGTCTATTTCTTTTATGAGGGACCAAAGAGGAAATTATTTTAGAGGCTTTAGCGAGCCTGAGCAAACGCATCTGCTGTGCAAGTTTAAAAAGGGGAATGTTACTCTGCTAAATTGTAGAACTTGTTAACACAAGTTGGAAAGGATATAATCAAACAATATATCCTCTCTTGCATCCCTGAACATTCCCACATATAGGAACTGGAACACCAGCCTGTGGTTTAAGGTGCATAATCCATGAAATGAACCGTACAAGAATCCATACTGTGTTTGCAAGTTAGTCTGAGGGTTGTTATCTTTGTCCTTTGGCATTTTACAGATATGTGCAAGGAATATTTTAGCTGTGGTTCCTGCATTGCAGGGGGTTGGATTAGATGACCATGGTGGGTTCCCTCCCAACCTTAAAATTCTAGGATTCTATGAAAGAGGGTTGTACTGTTCTGACGTGTGGGAATAGGGCTCTCCTAACGCCACATAGCACCTTTAACAAACTATAGTTCCTAGGATTCTTTTGGTACAATACATGACTGTTTACAGTGTTATGATGCTGCTTTTAATGTATAGTGCAGATGCAGCCTGAAAATATGCT